AAAGGGTCATCTCTGCCTTTAGCACAGCGCAACTGGTGATATATTTAGCACTTATCACCATCATTCTTCTCTCACAAGTGGTGTTCCCAGGGCTCAGTACTGGGGGCAGTTCTGTTTAATATCTCTGCCAGTGATCTGGATGAGAGGATCGAGTGCACCCTCAGGAAGTCTGCAGATGACACCAAATTGAGAGCAGGAGTGTTGATCTGCTGAGGGACGGGAAGGCTCTACAGAAGGATCTGGACAAGACGGATCAATGGGTGTCGCCAGTGGCATGATGTTCAACAAGGCAAAGTGCCAGGTCCTGCACTTGGGCCACAGCAACCCTATGGAACGCTACAGGCTTGGGGAAGGACTTAATAACCAGGCTAAACTCAGTAATACTTGCCTTAGGTTATTCTTATGTGGCAGCTATTCATTACATTCATTCTGTGAAAGGTGCATTTGTAAAAAATGCAATTTCAAAGAGAACAAGATTAGATTCTATGAAAATTGTTTATAAATTCTAATTATGTGCCCAAACTGGTGCTAGCCAATTTAACATGGATTTTGTGAAAACAAAACTACAATTTGAAGCCCCATTTTTACTCAAACAGAATGTTAGTTGTGGAACTCTGTTGTTGATATATGATTATCTAGCTTTTTTTTCTTTTTTCCAGTTATTTTGTTTTGCAATATAATTTACATAATTACTACTGTTACTACTACTCAAATATGCAATTAAAAAAATCTTGGTATTCTCGTTTATAACGGGTATCGACCCTCCAGAGTGCAGCTATTTACATAATTACTATAAATGCACCATCAGTAACTAAATTGCATATCCCTGTGTTACTCTTTCAGCTCCTATAATCTTCTCTCTTACTTTGACTAGCTTCTATTTTTAGATTATTCAAAAAGTTTTCCAGTAATAACAAGGTTGCATTAACTTCCCTTAGCTTGGGGTTTTTTGAGTGAAGCAGAAAAATGACTGATTTCATAGGAGCAAAGAATTAGACATGCTGTGTCAGTCCCAGAATCCAGCATTTTGCTGTTTTACACCATGCACTCCCATCTATCTTTTTGCAAGCAACATGTAAAAAGTAGTTAGGTTTTTTTGCCCCCCCCAATGCTCAGAAGGATATTTCAGAATTTGAGTACTCTATTGAATAAAAATTATCTTTCATGTCCATCCTAAACTTCTATGTTCATGTTTCTCATATTTAAATGTTGGGTGTAAACCAGTCATGCTTACTGCTGCTTAAGTGGTGTTTGCTAGTTCACCAAGTGTGGTCCCCAGCTATCACAGACAGATCATTTGCTGTCCTTCATAAAAGAGTTGCAAACGAGGGAAGAAAGTGCCTCCAAAGCAATTTCCTATTGACAGTCCTTCTTGCTTATTTCAATGTTTCCTTTACTTTAGATTTGAATTTCTATTTTTGCTGTTAATAAATATTTTCTATTGGATGTGAAGTCCTGCTAAAGCCAAGTCACTGAAATCAGGCCAGGAAGCATGTCCCATCCTGGAATCCCCCTGGTCACTTGGCCACGAGCCAACTGTGCTTAGATTTTCACCAACACTTAAGTATAAGCTGCCCTCAGGCACAGGGGGTTTAAAATCATCTGAAATGGTCCTTGCTTCCCTGCAAGCCTCTGCTGCCAGCTGTCACTGTGCAGATGCCAGTGGCGGTGGGGACACATAGGGTTACACCCTGGCTAGAAAATGACCCCGTGCCATTGGCAAAAGGGAAGGCAGAAAGCAGGAGAAGCTGGGAGTGCTTTTCAGCTGGTGAAAAAATGTGAACCTCAAATGTAGGTTATAACTTTGGTAAAAGGCACTGTCAGATCAGGGTAAGCCATCACCAGCTCTTCCTTTGTGAGACAGTTCCCCTGGGCAAAAACTCTTCAGAGACCTCAGAGCTATTCAAGTACCTAAACTTGAGTCTGGTACCCCAGAGAGACCCACCTGGTTTCCAGCTGCTGCCCCACAAGGGGGTCTCATTCTGTTCCTGGGTCTCCTAGAGGTCCTGTGTGCTGTTTGTCAGGCCTGTGCAGACATGTTGTGCATCCTTGATACAGATTTTCTAAAATACCACTAGATGCTTGATTAACCCCCTGAATATTTCTGTATTATCAACTTCATTTTATACGAAAATTACATTTCTAGTGATTAAATGAGCTTTGTCTAGTTTACCAGGAACAGAATAGCCTGCCACCACCAGCAGGTTGCATTTCCAATAAACTATAGCAATACCAGAAATAAAAATGATAGAGAAAAACTTGTTCTTACTGAGTAACTGACATATAGCAATAATTTTATGGCTTCGTACCTAAAAGAAAACATGTTCTTTAGTCTCTAAGTTTCTGATTTTCAGCATTCACAGGTCAACAGAACCAAGCTTTCAAGCACCTTAAAAAACTGGTATATTGTTATCTATTTATATCATTACTCAGTGACAGATTTTATTTTCTGTGCTGTGGGTTGCAAAGTTTCTCTTCATTGTATTTATATGTGACTACAAGCTACAGATTGTAATAAAAACGCAGCTTGCTGAAAATGTTATGTTCATTTGGGTAATAAAATCCCATAAGATTAAATATTTTAATTACATATGCTTTTGTGGTTTGTTATAAAATATGTCAGGAAAAAAAGGCTTAATGAAACAAGCCTTCCAATGCATTTGTGAAGTTTTGCTGAGTCTTTAATTTGTAATGCTTCCTGTACGTAAGATGAAGAAGAAATGAGATAAACAGAACTACACCAGCTTGTACCTTCATCACGAAAATATCAATCAGGCAGATACAAGAAAATAACTGACACTACTGATTAATCTGTCCTCAGCACTCCTGTATAAGCAACTCGTGAAGGCCCCTGATATACAAGAAAAATTATCAAATATCAAATGTCACAAATCCCTTTTAGAATCCTCAGATATGTGTTTCCCTTCCTTGTGTAAAGATGAAACATGAGGAGAGCAGTAACAAAATGGAAGGCTTGTTGCTCCCCAAGCATCCTCTGGTAAGATGTGTTTTGTATTCAAAGTGTGGTGCTTGCGATGCAACTCATCTTTTTTTGCATTGAAATATTTTCCTTGGTATACCTATTTCTCTGCATTTTTAGATTAGGACTTTCCCATAAGCAAGAGAGCATGATCCACTCCTACACCCACTCCCAAGGGCTTCCTGTCTTCCCAGGTGCTATTTAGTTTGGTTAGGAGGGATCTGGCCCTAAAATGGCGAAAGGAAGTCTGGTTTCAAAGTTTCTTGAACCTGCTAACACACTGGAACATTTTCTTCCATAGATGACTTGGTATGTCTACTTTCAGATAGCACAGGACTGGAAGAATTGAGAAAAGCTCAGTTCAATAGAGCTGACAACCCTTTCAAACCACAGTGGGCAATAAAGTACACAGAAATCACCCTGCAATCACCTTGCAGGAATCAGTTATTTGCTAATTTGTTCGATTAAAAGCATCTCTATGTGGAAATAATTTGGAGTGATGGGGACAATTTGGTTGATCTTGATTTAAATCCAGAAATTTATAGCCAAGCCAAACTCCAGTTGCTCTTGGTGGAAGATTAAATTGGGTTTATGTGGTAAGGTTTTGGTAGTGGGGGAGCTACATTTTATGGGGTTTTAATCTGTATCTCTGTCTATCTGAAATAAGGAGGGTTTATAGATTAGGTTTTAAATTTTCAGACATGCCAACCCACTTCAGCTCTTCATTCAAGACTGACACATCTTCCTTCTCTGGGGTTTCCTTGGAAACCGAAGCTGAAAAATTTTGCTAGGGCTCCAATTTCACAGCTGCCTCCCATGCAAAGTATCTACTCAGCACAGGTTACTTGAATTAGTAGGAAAGCACAGACTTTCTACAGGAAGGACTAAGTGGTGATTGTTTATCTGACTCTAAGTTGGATAAATGAGCGATATTCCAAGTTGCTCCTTTTTCCTCCCAAATATTTAAGACTGAATGAGCTGCCTACCTGAAGCAGCATGCACTCTGGGAAAGTTTAGCAGAGATTGACAGAGGTGCTGAGCTTTCTCCAGTCCACAAGAAGTCAGATGGGATGGAAAGCTCACAGCAACCCTGAGGACCAGGTCAGTAATCAGCCCCACGCTCTGCAGAGTGGAGCTCAGGTTCAGTCTCAGAAGTTTTTACTTTTGTTTTAACAGGAGAATTTGGTCCTTGGAAATTTGGTCACGGCCATTGTAAACAGACTCAGCCACTGTAACCATATCTTTGTAGTTCTCAAAGTGTAGGTCTTCAATTCAGGGTTTTTTTCCAACTAGATTATGGCTTAGAAGATAGTAACAAATGCTCCCATTACTCAGTGACTACTCAAAGGACTAGGTGGCTACAGTGGCAGAGCAGTGACAAAGCTTTATTTTGCACTGGAAAAGGAAACCCAGACCTTGCTCTGGATACCTGCTGATGTCCATTCATAACTAGACCACACATTTCTGAGGACCTACTTGTTTAAGCTGGGGAGTTAACTTCAGCTAGGAGCTACATCACACCTTGTGTGTCACTGGTGATGAGCATTGTTTATCCACGACATCCCAATATGCTAAGTTGCTTTTGCTGCGCTCCCAGCTCTATCACAGTAGTGGGAGGGATAGAGCAGCTCTGGTGAGCACGTGGTGCCCAGCCAGGGTTAACACACCACATTATTTTTTTCAAATTCCAACTATTTCCAGCTGTTGATACGCTGATAGCATTTCCCACATCTGGCATTGGACACGGAACCCTCTTCTTGGTACAGCAATTTGAAGAACATCCTTTAGATCATTCGCAAAGATAATTTTAGTTATATCCAAACTGTAATACTTTGCAGACAGAGCTTTACAGCTTTAAAACTCAGACAAAACTTTCCTACCGGACTTTTGCTACAAACATGTATATCTGGAAGAACTTAAATACAAATTAATAACTTTACCTACGTAAAAAAAAATACTGCATACATGTTCAAGTAAACAAAATATACAACGTAAAGAAAATTTCACAATTTTTACTCACTTTCTTTGTTTTGTCCATTGCCTTCAGTATGGTTACGTTTAAGTCTTCCAAGACTGATAGAACATTTTCATACTCTCCTAAGTGCTGGGAAAAATATTCTAAAAGAAGAAGAAAACCCATGTCAGCTATTAATAATATTAATACCAATTTTATCAAGTCTGATTTCAGTTATGGTGTTATTAACTCCTAAACACATAAAATGAACAAGAGTTACAGTGAAAAGGATGATTTAGGTTTTTTTTTCTTCAAAATCATTACCAGAGTACTTAAAATACCATAATCGGTGTTTACAAAAACATTTGTCTTCAATAAATGAGTTGCCAAATTGACAAAAATTTAAAATGTGAGTTTGAGAGCTGAAACAGACCCACAAAATATCTGCATTTTCGTTCTAAACTGGATTTTCCGTCTAATGGTCTACAGTTACTAGCAGGAAGTGAAGTTTTCATGTGTATGTATGTACTCAATTTGATTATTTCCATACAAAAATGAGTAATTCTGGTAAAACCCTTAGAAGAGGTAAGATCAAGTGGGGTCTGCTGTGAGTCAGGGTCAACTGAGAAATGAAGAGACCATAAGTTGGCCAGATAAGCTTCTAGTCCCAGGTACTGTGATGATATTTTCAACAAATAGGATGTATGCAAAATGCTTTTAACAAATCATATCTTAAGTTGTGTGATAACCTTGCATAGCTGCTCAAAGCAAAGGACATTTTAACAGAAAGAGCTGATGTAAAATCAGGGTGCATAACTCAGAGGCATTACAGTGAGAGGAGGACGCAAACCTGGGAAGTCATGATCCAACTTCCCATTTGGTCAACGTGTTGAAACACAATAGAAGAGGCACAGAAGGGAAAAAGTATGAGAAAGAAAGAAAGAAAATAATGTTAAAGCTAGAGATTGTGTTAGACAAGGCATTTAGACATCAAATCACCTGGAAGAGCATGAAAAACAACATCTAAATGGCAGACAGAAAGAACAAGAAGCTATTTGAAATAACAACTAGCAATACTTTGAGGCTTTTAAGAGGTCAGCATGAGTTTCTTGAGGGAGTCATGAAAGCATAACATTTCAGGACACTGAAACATAACCTGGTATTGCTAAGAGGTTGAATGAAATGATTTAGAATGAAAATGTATTGTGAATTAGTATCCTGGAAATGAAGCTTCATTTTTGAGAACTTGGATAACTCCGAAAAAGCTGTATAATCACTAGCTTAAACGTGTGTTCAGTAAACTTAGTACCAGGTACACAGATGAGAAACACCCTTGTGGCAACCTATGACAGATTTAAGGGCAGCTTAAGCAGCCCATGTTTAATGAAACCAGACAATAAACAGAACCACCACGAGGCTGACATCCCCTCAGCCCTCCAGCCAGCTGGATAACTGAGGGGTTTTGATGGTCTGTGTAAGAATGTGCAGAAATTTTCTGTAAATTGTTTTCTGCTGTTAACAGCACTCCTAAATCAGGTGCTGTAAGATCAGCTGGAGAGCAAACCGGGTGTTGAGGAAACTCCTCACAGCCCAGAATGTGGTACAGGAGTGGGTAACTGGGCCAAATGCTAGGCCTTGTAAAATGGTGGGGGGGGGCTGGGGTGTGAGGAGAGAAGATAGAACTTGACAAGCTGCTGTTATCACTGGCTCAAGTTGGAGGGAAGTAATGAATTTTCCTCCAGTGGGGTACCAATATGACAGCCTCTTTCAAGATTGCCAAAGCAGTCATACCTCTGAAAGTGATAAACCAAGTAGAAAAAATATCTCACATGAAAGGGAAGTAAGATAAAAGTTATCTATCTATCTATCAGAACAGATCTTGAAGTTCAGAGAATGTGAAGTATTGATGAGGAAAAATATTTTCAAAGTAACTTCTGCAAGTAATGGATGACAGAGTGTAAAAAGGTTTTAAGCCATCTTCGTTTTCCCAGGAGGTCTTTCAATTGAAACTATTTTCTGTTTGAGCTACAAAGATTAAACAGGAAAAAAAAAATCATATCACATGATATGCTCACTTGTGCAGGGCTTCCACAGGTATGGATTATGTTCTTGCCCAAAAAGGAACTTACCGCAGAGCTCTTCTGTGTCAAGGTTGCTGGAAAGATAAGAGTATAGAAGGTTAGTAAGCTTAGTACTTTATTTTTATTGGATTGGTAAACAGGAGGACTCAAAGATTAGCCTGACTCAAGGATTAACCTCCCCCAGCCTGGGCTGCAGGAGGAGACGTGAGTGCTTGGCCCTTGCTGGCCTTGCTCCCTGCCTTGGGGAGACTTCATAGAATCATACAATGGTTTGGGTTGGAAAGGATCTTAAGATCATATAGTTCCAATCCCCCTGCCATAAGCAGGGACACCTGGCACTAAACCATATTGCCCAAGGCTCTGTCCAACCTAGCTTTGAACACCGACAGAGATGGAGCATTCACAACTTCCTTGGGC